GTATATATATAATTATGCGGAGTTAAAAAGTGGATTGTTTACTGAATAATATAAACAGGCGTCCTGGGTTGACGAAGAACAAAAATCGTACACCAAACAAGGATTTTTGCGTCGAAACAAGACTACGTTAAGTTGGACTTCATGGGGAAAAAGGATCAAGCACATGCTTCGAGAAACGCAACTGCGACTTTGGCAAGTGATTTTTAATTTTTTTTTTTTTTTTTTTTTTTTTTTTTTTGTCTTTTGAAGAGTTTTGCTCCGGTAGAGTTTAGAATCAGTGCATTTTATTTTATTTTTAAGAGATTTTAGATCTGACTGGGAAAGAAAAATTGTATCTGTTTCGTTTAAAAGTTCGGATTTCTTAGAAATTTGAATATGATGGTTAATATAAAAAATGGTAAAATTCCGTTTTGAGGACCATAAAAAAATTGCAGCAAAAATGTATGCGCAAAAGCGCCAAATCTAGCAAACGTGCCCATTTAAAGTGCGCCAAATCTAGCGTACACGCTGATTTCAGATTGCGTAAGTTCTAAATTTCTTTCCCCACTAATATATATATATTTTAAAACTCTCTATTTCCATTCTTAATTATGCTGAAAAATTCTACTCATCCAACAAGACGCCATTGAAATACTAGTTTAATTTTTAAATCCTTTTTTGATTTTAAATCCTTTTTTGATATCCTATGGATTTAACAATTTGGGAACTGCCCATGACGAAAAGTCTGGAATAGAATTTTTTTCAAAGAAAAGGCATCGTTCGTTATAAAAAATTATGTTTGAACAACTAACGAGATGAAATTATCTTTAGCGATAACTCGGTAGCGAAATGGCGATGCAGAAATCCATTCAGTTATGTTTATCCTTTTTTTTAAATAAATTATAATAATGATCTGAAATAGTTATTGACTCTTATGCTTCCATTCAGTTATGTTTAGCCTTTTTTATATGAATTATAATAATAAAAAGTATTATATGAAATTAACCTTTCATATAAATTAAAACAATAATCTTTGAATAGTTATTTACTATTATACTTCCTTTCTTGCGTTAGGGTTGCCACAATTATTTTGGCAGCACTGGCATCAACAATAGTTTGGTGATTTTTTACGATCCTCAAAACGGAATAGTACCTAAAAAATAATTTAAATCAGAGATTCCCAACCTTTTTATTGTATGACCCCTTTGTTTCTTCATCGACCTCCTTAGTGTTTTCCTATAATATACATCATAATTCTAATACAAATAATTGCATATATATAGCCTTAAATGTAGCAATTAAATTTAGGATATGAACAAAAGCTTTGGAGAAAACGATTGTTTATTATATTTTTGTTTATTATTAGTTATTTTCGATGCCAAGATCATTTATTTTACAAATAGAAAGTTTCCAGAAACATAATCACAGTTTCTAATGGCACGAAAGTTCGAATTTAATTCATGCCATGCTGGATGTATTGATGTGCTTTGGTTTAATGTTTAGCAAAAAATCACTTAATTTAATTTTTAAATCCCTTCTTTCATAATTTTCAACGTGTTCCTTATTTCCCATTCTAGCTTTGCGTTCTTCGTACTTTTTTGTGTTTTTGCGTTTTACTTTTTTATATTGCACTTATCGCACAAAAAATTATATTATTGATTTTTAAAGTATATGAAATAATTTTAGCACATTTTTGTTCTTTGTATTTACTTATATGATTTATACCTTACTACATGATACAACTTTAATACCAATGAACAATTAATTATCGATTTTATTGGTATATTTTTGATTGATCATATATTAATTTTATTGGTATAAGATCAGTGGGATTCTGATTATGCCGATAAACTGCCGGTAAATATTCGACTATAGACCCCTTTAAGAACTGATCGATCTCCAGGGGTCAATACCGACCCCTTTGGCAACCCCTGATCTCGGATGAAAATCTTGAAAACAAAGGTTCTGATAAAACAAGATACAACGGTAATAAATTCGGTTCCGATAACTGGCGCGTTTATGTATGTGCATATACCTAGTGTACTCTCGATTATCCGGACTGGTGCCGGTAAAACAGGTCACGGATAACTAAAGAACATAGATAATCTAAACTAGTAGTTTTCATACATATTGCATGTGTTTATTTCGTAAACAAATCGGCAATTTTAGTTCGTTTTTGAGACCGTTTTGATATTTGCCGAATTTCATTGCGCAGTATTTGCTACCTAAAGTGCGTCTCTTGCTTGGCTGCTTCTGTTAAAAATGTAATGCCTCATTATCAAAATTGTGGATTGCAGATCGGACTCTATTGGGATGTGCCATGCCATAGAGCAATCAACAAGTAATAAAGATACATTTGGATTATCAAGTGATGTTGTGATTCTTCAAAAGTTCTCCGCATCTTCTATTACGTAACTGATATTTCCATTAATCTACTAACTTCAATCCACTCGAGACAGCAAATGTCTTCCCTAGTCAAACACGCATCTCATATCAAATATATATATATATATTATAAAAGAAATGTCGTATTTTCTATTATACTATTTAGTATACATTTTTTCTTTTCCATTTTAGTACTACGTGAATATATTTTTATTTACCTTTTTTTCCCTTGTTTAATTGTTTTTACAAATATTGCATTGTGTTCATTATTTTTACAAGTTTGCATTGAGTTGATTTGATTAAAGGCGAAAGTATCGGGGCACAATTTTATCAAGAGAATAAAATTCACTCTTATAAGAATTATTTTCCGATTTTAAGATTGATTTTAAAACTTAACAGTACAGTCAATTTCTTACTGAATTTTAATTAGAAATTTGAATAACTTTAACTCCTTTTACTAAAAAGCAATTTTTTTTTTTTTTTTTTTTTTTTTTTTTAAATGAACAAATTTCAACAATTCTGGTCCAACGTTGACGTGGGTTCGAATCCCACTTCTGACACCAAAAATTGGTGCGTGCGTACGGTTTCGTTACGAAATGAATGCACAAGTTCGATGAAAAATGAACAAAAATTTATTATTATCTCAACAAAAATGCTTAAATTTCCTCAAATTATCATGCAGTATTACAATATCTCACAGTAGTTATCTTTCAACTACTCAAATGTCCAATAGAACGTAATTCAAAACAGCTAAAGAAAGCTAATCCGCGAATTCGCTACAATCAACAAGAGCAGTTTTCTAAACAACAACAAACTAAGAAACTACTACGAACTGAGAGGTTTTCCTCCTTTTATAAGATTTTAAAAATCGCGTGCGAGAATTTTCTAGTACTTTCTCGAAATCAAAAAGAGATATTTATTGAATGTTTAATGCACGCGCTTTTGTATTTTCAATTTTCCGGTATAGCTTTCTTTTAATATTCGTCACGCGCTGCACTGCGCGGGAAATAACCATTTAATTTAGAATTGAAGTAACATTAGCTTTTTAAATACCAAATTCGTAACAGTATAATTAAAAGTGAAAATGTAATCAATAAAACAAGTAATTATCGTCATTGGCCGGAAATTAGTTGACTTTTCAAGGGAAATGATCTAACTGCTGATCAATTAACAATAATTAATAAATTCGAAAGTGTTTCGTGTTTTTCTCAAGTAAGAATTATGACGAAAACGCTTTTTAGTAAAATTAGTTAAAGTTATTCAAATTTCTAATTAAAATTCAGTAAGAAATTGCCTCTCCTTCTTCATCACCTCAATGCCTCAGCTTTCCACCTCAGAATTTTTAAAGCCATGTGCATTTTGGCAAATCCTCATGAGCTGGAAACAGCTCGAGCAATAATTTATTTGATTGATTGATTGATCTTTGCCTCAGGTGAAAAAATATGTAGCCAGGGTTCTGATACTAATTCAGAAGTCAAACAACAAAAATCAGCATTATATTTTCAAAACATTCACAGGACTAGTTTCGATGGTTTTACCGAACCACCCTCCTCAGCTGCAAAACCGCAAATGAACAAGATAAGAAAGAATGATTAGATAAGATAAGAAAGCATGGACAAGAATAAGCAAGTGGCGCCATCTGTTGGTGAAACCAGAACTAAAACATAATTTCTTTAAAGGCCGAAGGCAAAGATGGATTGGAATTAGGATCGTTAACTAGAACAGAAAGATTTTTTTGAATGTGAAATGCCTCTAGAAAATCCAGTTCTCCAATGGAAGACGTTTCTTGAATAATTTTGGCAGCAGAAAAATTTAAAGTGTGATTTTCGGACCAACAATGTTGAGCAACAGAAGACTTCTGTGTTTCCTTGTTTCTAACATATGCCTCATGTTCCTTGACGCGAAATTTTAAGGCTAAATTTTAATTTTAGTTTGGCCAATGTAAATTAAACCGCACTGGCAAGAATTCTATAAATACCCCAGGAATTCATATCTGAAATGGGGTCCTTGAGTATGGAACTCGGAATTTACTCGGAATTGGTCCGAAAATCCCACTTCAATTTTTTTATTCAATCAATTTTTCTGCTGCCAAAATTATTCAAAAAACATCTTCCATTAGAGAACTGGATTTTCTAGAGGCATTTCACATTAAAAAAAAAATCTTTCTGTTCTAGTTAACGATCTTAATTCCAAACCGTCTTTGCCTTCGGCATTTAAAGAAATTATGTTTCATCAACAGATGGCGCCACTTTCTTATTCTTGCCCAGGCTTTCCTATCTTATCTAATCATTATTTCCTATCTTGTTCATTTGCGGTTTTGAAGCTGAGGATGGCGGTTTGGTAAAACCATCGAAACTAGTCCTGTAAAAATTTTGAAAATATAACGCTGATTTTTGTTGTTTGCTTTCTGAATTAGTCGTTTTGATTACTTTGTGTCCGCGTATGCATTCACGTCGAGTAAAATCGTGACGGCACGATCCCGCCGTTTGACTCGTTTTCGTTGATGGGACCACAACTGTGTTAAATTTACTATGTTAACCGAGCGATCCACGATTTGGTTCAAATGACCATCCAGGTCGAGGAATGAAACTGGGATAGAGAAAGCTGTAAAAATGAATGAAGCGCCTTCCACTCACCGTAATACTTGGAGAGTTAAATCTGTGCCACTTTTGTCCGCGATCTCCATAACTTGGTCGTAGGTGAGATTCTGGCAAGACTTGCCGTTCACGCTCAAAATCAAGTCTCCTTCACACAGTCGCTTGTAAGCCTTGCTTTTTCTCCGGACCTGGAACAAGAAAATAGGTATTATTATTGGTCTTTGCAAACAAACCTCTCTCTCATGCAGCAGCGTGGCTAGGCCAGGGCGATCTCTGAATTTACCACCCCCCTTCATATACATCTAAATGCCCAAAAGAATGTCAAAAGGACATATTAAAAAAACTAAAACTCAATATTTATTTTTGAAGAAAAATATTAACTCCAACGTTTTAAAATTATATTATTACTTTTAGTTCAAAGGGGCTTTGTTCCTAAGGGACTATTGTTATCGTTTTGCGATTTGGCGAATCGATGTCCGTTTCACTTTTCAAACTGTTGCCACCCAATATTATCGCCCTGTATTATATTTGAAGAACTTAAATAATCAAGAATCTGCATCAATGTATGTATGTTTCTCGCACTGTGATAAAACAATGGTACCTAGAGCCATCGAATTTTTGAATGACATTATTGTACTGCCAATATGGGCATCTGTAAGACCAAATTTTAAATTTGGAATTTGGTTTATTACCGATTTCATATTTTGTAAAGCTTCAACGAATGTTTGATTAACAAAATCAAGGATTTCAGTTTAATTGGGCGTATTTTAAAATATGAAACCTTTGATTTTTTTTTTTTTTTTTTTTTCAGTTCAGTACTATACACGTGAGATTGTACCAGCTAGGATTCTTTAAAATCATTATATCCTCTTTTTTAATGGTTATGCATGTAAACATTAAATATTATTCTCAATAACATGGCTATTTTAAATACCATGTTTGAAAAGTTTTATATTATCTCTTAATACATATATTGTTTCACGAAAGTCTGTTCAAAGCTTCAAGTCACTCCCGGTTCATTCATTTTAGCTGAAATCTAATATGCTGCCATTTGTATGAAGATCGTAAATGCTAAAGTCGAAAAGATTTGGATTATATTTTAGTATAAGTTTTCATTCAAAACTATTATGAGCTTCATGTAAAGTTTCGCTTTCGAATGTCTATGGAAAACTGGTTCGGGTGTCTGGTAAAGTATCACTTCCTTTGAAGTATCACTTCTTTCCTCCTTTCAAAAACTCGAAAAATACGAATACATTTATTTATATTTAGATGATTTTTTAATGTGTTTCAAAAATTAAACAAATTTTAGGTACTTTTGATGAATTTTGATAAAAGCCACCCAATATTATCGCCCTGTATTTTATTTGAAGAACTTAAATAATGAAGAATCTGCATCAATGTATGTATGTTTCTCGCATTGGGATAAAACAACGGTACCTAGGGCCATCGAATTTTTGAATGACGTAATCTTCCTACGAATATGGGCATGTGGAAGCCCAAATTTGAAATTTGGAATTTGTTTTTAGTCCAAAGGGATTTGAATCCCGAAGGACTATTAGTTTCGTTTTGGCATTTTGCGTCGGACTCATAAATGTCGGTTCACTTTTCAAACTGTTGCCACAAAAATGTTAGAGTCCTGCATTATATTTGAAGAAATTAAATAATGAAAAATCTGCATAAATGTATGTATATTTCTCGTATTGTGATAAAACAACGGTACATAGAGTCATCGAATTTTGAATAACGTAATCCTCCAACGAATATGAGCATGTGGAAGACCAAATTCGAAATTTTTGAAATTTGTTTTATGATCGATTTCCTATTTTTTAAAACTTTGACGAATTTTTGATTAACAAAACTCAAGGATTTTTTTTTTCAAAGCGAGCAATGGCAACGTTGTGCAGAAAAAACATTTTTATCTCCAGCGCGTGAATCTCTGTATCGGAAATTCTAAAGATATGCTCGTTTTAAAACTATTTTGCGATATTGCTGTTGCACTGGATCTTATGGTTTAAGTGCGAGGAACATGATATTTAATAAAGAAAGGTAACACACAAAATGTTAAAAAACGCCCCTTTGGACGTAATTTAAAATCTGAAACATTTCAGATTTTGTTTTTTATATTATTGATTTCTTTTTTTCTAAAAAACTTTAACGAATTTTTGATTAACAAACTCAACGATTTAAAATCGAGCAATAGCAATGTTTTATAGAGAAAACATTTTTATCTCCAGCGCCCGAGACCGTGTATCGAATTTCTAAAGATAGGTTCATTTCAAAATTATTTTGCGACATTGCTGTTGAACTGAATTTTATGGTTTAAGTAGTCCCGTAATTTAAAATCTGACAAATCTGAAAATCTGAAAGCTCTCAGATTTTCGTTTTTCCTTTTTACTTCCTTGTGCGAAGTAAAAAGGAAATATTGTTATCGCAAAAAGTTTCAGGCAGCATATTTCAACGAAAACATCCATTTTGACCGCTATCGAATGCAATTTAAGGATGTTTTTGCGTGATATCTGTACGTAAGCACAGAATAAAAGACTCGTTTCCTCCATAAAATTATAAAACTATACCGAACGTATGTACGTACATACGTACGTATCTCGCATAACTCAAAAACGAGTAGCCTCAGAACGTTGAGATTTTGTATATAGGACTGCTATAACATGTAGATGGGCACCTCGTATTTTGGTTGCAATCGGCCGCACCAAACGTATATAAATATATTTATATATATATCCACTCTGTTATACGGCTCAGTGATCTCACTTTCTTTACTCTTATATGTTTGTAAAATCGTATATTGTTTGCTTTAAAAATGATTGAATTATGTTGTTCTTATCTTCCGGTGAAGGTTTTTATGCCTTTAGTAAATATGTATGAAATATTTTTAGAATTATCTACAATTTTAAATTTGTTTAAGTGCCGCTAAGCCTAATAATGTTTTTCATGGCGGCCATTGCTTGTTTACATATGAAACAGCAGAATGGTGGATTTTTCGCCATTCTAGAGAAACTTAGCTTCGCAACAACAAAAATAACGCCTTCATTTATTATTGCCAATTAAATCATGCTTAATCCTTTCTGGAATTTTTTCGAGGAAATAAGTGTTTAAGATTTACTTCGTAATTTGTAATACAGATATTTTGAGTTTTTATGTATTTTTGCCTTGTCGGGAAGTGAGAACGGAATTAATTGAATGAGAAATACTCAATCGTCTGTGAAAAACTGCTTTTTTGTTTTGTCTGCTTAATTTCTTTTATACATCGTTATAGTATTTGAATAGAACATGTAGCAACGATTAGATAATTCTTTAAATGATATCAATTTTGTGCATTCTGGGTTATAATATGAATGAAATATAATACTGTTAAGTGAATTTAACGCCAGAGTGTCGCGCTATGGTAAACAAATAGAGTGAATTTTAAAGAACGCATTTATTCTATTGTGATTTATGTAATTTAAGTAAATTTAATTCCGTTCAATATATTTAAATGAAATTTAGGAAAAAAGGCATAGAATTTAATATTCCGTACAAGGAAGTCATGTGGTGTACACATCAGATTTTTTATATAAATTATAATAATAAAAGTGTACTATATGAAAGTAACTTTTCATCTAAATTAAAACATCAATCTTAAATAATTATTTACAATTATACTTCCTTTCTTTTTGCGTTAGGATTGCCGCAATTATTTTTGGCAGCATTGGCATCAACAATAGTTTGGCGAGTTTTTACGGCCCTCAAAGTACCGTATTATTTTATTACAAGGAATATGGTATTTTGCAAAAAAACAAAGCTTAAAATGAAGCTTAATATGTAAGAAAAATATCTGAAGTTTGCGTTTCAATATTTCGCACAAAATGTACGAACTATACGAACTTTCAAAAATGCAAGTGTCAGAAAATTTTAAGTATCCAGAAATAAGTAATAGTCGAGCTCCTTACTGTAAACATTGCGGGAGAGCAACGAAAGGACAGAACAAACGGAAACGAATGTAGCGCCATCTGTCGATGAAAACAGTAATGAAAGTTAAGTTTTTAGGATTTTGAACACAAATGCATAGAATTTTCTAATATATATATATATAACGTTGTATGTTCTTAAATTCTCTGAGTTCGAAAACAAGTTATTCTAATACTTGCGCAATAGCTGCAAAGTAAGATAATTATAACTTATTTGCTAAAGTAATATTGATTATATTATCTCCTAATATTAATTTTAGTAGAAGTATCTAAAAAAAGTGAACCCACAGCTTGGAAGTTTAATTCCGGAAATTGTTTAAAGTAACTGGAATGTAAATTGTTAAAAATGTTTATGGGGACTTGAAGTAAATCATGAATAACAAAATTTCAATTGGAAAAAGAAATTAAATTGAAAGGAAGCCATTATTGCTATTGATCGGAAAAAAATTAGTTGACTTTTTAAGGCGAACAAACCAACTCCCGTTCAATGAACAATAATTAATAAATAAATACGAAGGTGTTTCGTCTTTTACCCATATAATAATGGTGATCCCAAACTGGCAAATTAAGTTAGGCCAAATATTTCCGTGAAGTGAAGGTATTTAGATATATATACGAGTATATAATCTACTTTGGTTCACATCACATATATATATATATATATATATATATATGATGTACCAGCTTTTGCCCGGAATAAATAGATTGGTGAAGAAATATAGATGTAGTCGTATCTTAAATTATCAGACTATAAATTTTAAAAAACAGGATCCATTTATTATTGGTCAGGAGAAATAGCAGTTACAAAAATCATATTTACGGAGTAAATAATAAAGGGTACTTTTCCGTTTCGCCGGCGCAAATCTCGCCAAGCAGACTTTGTTGGCGACAACATACAGTATACACATAAAAAATGTTAATTCTAAGAATTTTTTTTTATTTTGAAGGCATAAACATTTTAATATGGTTTAAAATTTTGTAAAAAGCCAATAAATAAAGACAATAAATTTGTAAAAAGACATTAATTTAAGAATTTACTATGATTTCATGGTTCAATATCCTGATTCACCAGTTCGTATCACGTGACCCCAAGTGATCTCATCTAACGTAAACTACGCTACTAAAATCTAATTCGCTCAGTAATTATCTACATTAATTTCAAGTTAAATCTTAATTTGGAATACAAGTTTAAATGCAAGAATTATTTCAATTCGACGAATAGC